ATAATAATAATATATATATATATATATATATATATATATATATATATATATTAAAATTATTATATTATATATTATATAATTATATTATATAGAAAAAAATACCTTTTAATCAATAAAATATATAAGATATATAATTCCTGCAAACATTTGTGCATGATTTCTTTTCAATCAAAAATATAGTTATTTGCATTAAATATTTCGAAAAAATATAAGCACAATTAAAAGCTGTTCTATTTAGTAATTAAACATATGCAGTACAAAAGCAAACAAGCCAAATAAAAAAATCATCAAACATCAAACTTCCGTGGACCCTTCACTGCAAGATGAATAAGTTGCAAGCTATACCATTACATTTGCTAAAGCAATAATGCCGAAATCATCAATCTAAGCTTGTTCAAACCTTGGTCTCGGTTTCTCTGGTAGACGATTGCTTCCGAGTCGCTCCCTGAAGGGAGAGCTGCCGACTAGATTGGTCTGAAAAGCATGATGAAAAGTATGGGTAATTGTAAATGTATGAATAAGCTCATGATCATGAAGAAGTATATCTCTGGTTTGTTTAACTGTAATATATTGTTAACATCGTATTCAGAGAGCATTATTACATCGATGAAAAGAAAAGAAGATAAATAAAACATCTGCGTTTTGCATTACACAAAAGCTTGCTAAAAATTATGTGCGCATTCAAGGCAAATATCAAGCATGGTTGCATTCATTGTATAATACTGTGTAAGCTGTCTGAATGTTCTAACTAATTTTATTAATTATTAAATCTAATTATTTATTAAAATCTAATATTAAAGTATCAAAAGTAATTGATATACAATAAAGATTAAAAAAAGAACATCAAGATTTCATAGGTGGTTTTTGTTGCCAAATGAGGCAAAATATATTGAAATTAATGGATTGACATGATAATGATTTCATCGACACCTGGGTCAGCATATCGAGGCTACAGGATACGAGGATATACCTGGTTAGTGAGGACAATCAGGCTCGTGCTGTGCCTGCGCCTGGTCAAGTGAGAGGCAGGATCTCTCTGGGAAACACCACCTAGAGTTGAAGGGTTCTGAAACATATCATGCTAAAATACCCTCTCCTAACTTTCTACTGGCCTATTTTTATCTACAATTATGTGTATCTTTCATGTAATTGTGTAATCTCGGCATTGATACTTATAGCTACAATACTAATTTAAAGATGTTATTTGAGAATAATTAGTTTATATATATATATATAAATATTGCCGTATTTGAATATGTTATAGCCACTATAAGTGATTTATTGAGTGCCAAATAAGCTTGTGAAAAAAATCGTGCCATTTTTTTCGAAATTTAAATTAACCCTTGTTATTATTTGTTATATCCTAAATATCTAATACACCAGAGAAACGCACTATACTATATTACAATGGCACTGCATGAAAAATTTTGCAAAATAAATCAAAATTACGATTTCTAATATCAAATAAAATAATAAATATTTAAAATCAACGAAAGCACCGAAATAAATTGCGTTACTTAGGCGTACATCAGGCATGCGACATCCAATTTTATAGTGCAAAAGAATATGATACAAAACGAACCGTTAAATTCGTATACTGTTCAAATTTAAAAAAAGAAGAAAAAAGTAATAGCAAAATATTTTCTAATCTAATTTTTCTCTATCTTTCTTTCTGACAATTTCAATTTATAAAATGTTTGTTTTATATAATGTATGTTTTTAATTCCTGAAAAAAATAGTATATATATTATGTTTTAATTATTTTTATACAAAAATTACCCAATTTTTATTTGGATTCGGGCGTCTTATTTTATTGGGCCATAGCTCAATGAATCGTAAAAATCCATCCAAAAGAGAAACTTGTTCAGAAGTAGTGAGAGGTGTGTATATGTCACATCTTGATGATCCTTCTGAAAATTTTCGAGTCGCAGAATTATGTAAAGGAAGTAAAAATACGCGAAATCTCCAATATTTAAGTGCCTAGAAAATTTTATTCATTTTTAAAAAATTGAAATTAAATATATATTTTTTATATGATATAAATTTTACCTCTACTAAAGCAAAATCGGTATGACCCCTAGTACAAATATAATGATCCAAATAATTCCAATTATAATTTTCTAATTTTTCTGTTGTAAAAGATATCCATGATACTTCATAAGTATCGTGATGTGGTGCATGAAATCGATAAAGATAATGAATATTAAATGGAGGATATGGATGTCTGTAAAAATACATATAATTAATTTTTCTTTATTTATTAATTTATAGCTCAAAATTTTTACCTTGGCCGATATCTTGTTACTGTTATACAATTATCAAATAAAGATATTTTATGAAATATTCTACCAATACTTAGCAAATATTCTTCTTTAGGTTCTGATTCTGTTTGCCGTCCTCGCATTACAGAACTTATTGCAGGAACAGTAGTACTACCAGGTGTATTGCTTTGATTTTTATTATTTTGTGCTAAGATAATTAATTGAAAACCCTTAATTATAAAAAAAAATAGTATATATATTAGTTATATGTATGAATTGTATACATATATGAAAAAATCTTATTAGTACAATTAATATAATACCTGCGCTAATCTTTGCGATACAAGTTCTTTAAATACTTCGGCAGTTGTTAAAGGTTTTTTATATATAGCTCGTTGTTGAGCAAAATCTGTATTAACATCATCAGGTAGAAGATTATAATCTGATACCACATAGTCATTTTGTAAGCTTCTTTTGTCAGGGAAATAATCTGTAGTAATAGGCAAACATGCTGGAATTGTCAATGATTTCCAATCAACACCTAAAAAATAAGATATAAAATATATGTGAGAAAAGCAATTTGCATTTTAGATTATTTGAAATAAATAAAAATGACTTATTTAATATATAATGTTAATTTCATAACTACATAAGTACTAAATCTAAGTATTTGTAGCAGTTAATACAAAAATACATAGATGTAGTATACAGAAGAAATTTTTTTCACAAAATTAATATATAATGCAAGTATGTATTATATAAATACTACTATATGTATCAGAGATAGTAATATATTAGTGTTACGATATGTATTACCAGTATGTGAAATCCAAGATGATCATACTAAAGCATGCAATGCAAAATATATTATTTATAATATAGTTACATGAATGTTCAAAATAATTTGTTATAAAATTTTCAAATTTGTGAAAATGACATGAAAAGTATACATATATCTATATATAATTAATAAATATTTTAATAGATTTATGTAAAATTAAATTGCTAAATATTAGTCTACCAATATTATTATGTACTATTAATGATACTACTAGTTATTAATATAAGAAATTAGTAATTAAAGCAAGATGATAGAATGAAAGGATTATGGAATAGATGAGAAAATGTTTGAAGAATATTTGAACCACAAATAGTGATTTCTTAATAGTGATAGAATATATGGAGAATCATTAAGAAAAAAAATTAGAATTTTGAAAAGTGCAAACACTTTATAAAAATAAATAAAGATAAGAGATAACGAAAAATTATATGTAGGTGTATAAATGATTCTAATAACAAAATAGATTATTGTTTGTAGAAATTTTTTGGGAATTAGAATTACATTTTTTTTGCAATAGAAAACATACATGCATAGAAGAATCATAAAAAAACTAGAACTATGAAGAACAAAAGTCGCTACAAATTTAATTTCCTAAAAGTAAATGTGTACCATAACCGAATCAACCCCCAATAACGTATAGCGCTAACCTATGATTGCTGTTTAATGTGACATCATAGTTGTACATCACACACGCGTCAATGCGTCCAGCGTTGCATCCCAATAAGACGTACCATAGCATGGAAATAAATGTAATAATATTATTCATATAAATGATCGATGAATTTCAAAAATAAATATGAACATGTCCAAGAATGAAAATACTTCTTATGCATGATGATTGTGTGATTGTGTATCAAATTTTCATTCATTTCTACTTGGAAAACAATATTTTGTTTTTAAATATACATATATTTAACTATTTTCATTCTTTAAAGAATTATATTTTAAAATATTTCTATTAATCCTTCTTGGTATGAGTATGAATGAAATGTTTTATCAATATATGCATCAATTGAATAATTTACATTACACCTACATTTTACTTATGTCTTTATTGTTTCTAAAGCTGCCAAGAAGCATTATATTTCTGCAATTAATTGTTCAATATTTTCTGCCATAAAAATTAGTTATTTGTTTTTAATAGAAAATTCTTTCAAAATTCTTTCTTCAAACTGTAAACTCATTTTATAATAATTCGTGAATAATAACATGGCTAATATTGTTATTTGGATATGTTATAAAATATTATTTGCCAGTAGTTATATAGTATATTTGTGTCATAAATTACTTTATTAAAATATATGCAAACCTGTGGTAAGTGCTGGTGTCCATTCCTGTTCACCAGTAGCACCCCATAATAATGTTAAAGACTTATTTCCTGTAGAAGATATTGGATTCCCACTTTTATCAGCATTTGATAATGAAAGATTTAATCTTTGTGGTTTAATTTTTGTATCTATGAAAAACATAGATGCAATTCTATATTATGATAATACATAATTTATGTATTTTATATAAAATACTAACGATCTTGAATATTATTTGAATTAGAGACGTCATTATGTTCCATAGGGGAACCACTTATAGTAGAAATAATGTCAGATTGTGATTCTGAACACATTTGTGTTGGTACAGCTTGATAATGATGTTGCTGTATAAGCACACCTGTTGGTCCTAAAATGTTTAAATTAAATTTAAATAATTATGAAATTTTCTATTATTATATCTTTATTAATAATTACCTTTAGGAAAAATATGCGTCCATCTCCGTCTGTTGCTAGTTAATTTAATTGTAACATGAGATGGATCAAATGGATTTATAAGTGCTCTACTTGGTCTAATATTTGTAGGTTGAGATATTGTATTTGTAGGACTTCCAGCACTACCAACAACTGGCCTAAATGGTGGTGATATTTCTGAATCGGTTAAATCGCTTTTTACCGATATTCTTGATTCTGTAATATATAATTATTAAATATTTTTTAATGTTTTATTGGTATTCACGTTATAAATAATGATAAGAACAATATGTTGAAAATAATTAAAATAAAATACCATTAACTTCTCCATTAGATTCATTACTAGTTATATCATCTATTCTAGAAGGTATTAAAATTGCTGCACTTCTTGTAGCAGCTGGAGGTGAATGAGATTCAGGTGGTGGATGATGTATATCAGGATCTGACATTTTTCTTTTTAAAAGTTTTAGTATATGTGCATTATTATGTGTTTCCATACTTGTAACACTTGTCTTTTTAGTTCTTGTTGTAACCCGTTGCAAACTACTTATATAAAATTTTAAATTAGAATCTTTAATTTCAAAATTTTAATTAAATTCTATTAATTCCATTCAAAATTTTAATATTATTAAATTTACCTTGATGTATGAACTGAAGGTAACTGAAAAACTTGTGCATCATATGCATCATAATCAAATAAAGTATTATGTAAACATTCTCTTGGATCTTCTTGCAAAAGTTTATTTTTACATTGCAATTTTCCGTTTTCCATTGATTGTTTTGATATCCTTTGGGGAAGTTTTATACGAGGTATAAATGTTGAATAGGGAATTTTTTTATTGTTGAATAAAAACTAAGATTAATCCAATGTGGCATACTATAATCATCAGGTGCATTAATAGATGTGTCTTTATTATGAAACTAAAATCATATCAAAATTTTAATATTCTCATATTGTTAACATTATTATTTAATATTTTTTTTCTATATAATACCTTTAACAGAGGTACTGCATGTAATGGCTGCTCACCAACACACACCAAATCACTACCAACTCCATTATCAATAATTCTTTGTTTTGTAACATTTGTTAATTCTCTGTCAACTTCAAAAACACCTACACCAGGTGTAATCACTACAGATAATTGACCAGTTCTATCAAAACTACGATCCAGATAATGTTTCTCAAATACTATAAATAAATTAAATTGAAAAATATATCTCACAGAAAATCATATAAATTTAATCATATATTCTAATATATTACCATTTAAAGACATATTTAAAACTTCTAAAAAATTGCCTTGGGCAGCTGTTGAATTAACTGCTTTTGGTATAGAAACACCTGGTTTTTGGTGATATTCTAATACAATTTTTTGATAGTCTGTGAATAGTTTACGTAATTGTACCAATACATTACTCCAATCTTCAAATCTTTCATTTTGAACTACTACTCTGTAGAAATCTTCATAAAATCTTCCCCTATAATCATGTTGCAAACACTCACGCATATGATTTGGAAATTCTTCTGGACTGCTAGCATTATAAAATGTTCTTGAAAATAGAACTATTGTTACTTCGTGATTACTGCCATTCTTTTTCCATTTTTGAAATAAATCAGCTAAAAATCCATTAACAGCTTTCTCAAAATATAAATCACCATGAATATCAAAATCCCACATTTCTGAACTCATTTGAATGAAAAGATATACCATACTTGTTGAAGAACGAAACACAACCTAAAAAACAAATTTTTAAAAAACAATTTTATATATATTTTATTTCATTATATTTAATTTTGAACCTTAGTATCATTATTTATAACACCACAAGCAACTCTGTCACCTTGAGACCACATTTCATATACTTGACATCTTATACTGCCTCCACAGAATTCAATCTTTTTGTTCATATATACACAAGTATTTACCTGATAAAAATTTATATAAAGTAGAAGTAAAAAGTAAATATTTAATACATATATAAATAAATAATCTATTCTACCAAACTATTTTTTAGTCTCCACATTTCACTCCGACCCAAATATTGATCTTTAAAAGTAAGTTCAACAGAATCCAAAGCTACATCATCTGGATTAACAACATTCATATATACATCTGTAAATGTTCTTAATTGAAACATTGTGGCTACATTATTTTCCACACTAATTGTTTCACGTCCTTGTAAATCTTCTTTAAATGATGTGACTTGAAGAAGTAAACGACTAAATTCAACTTCTGGATGATAAATTTCAACAACATCTCCAGTTTTTATATTAGGATGATCTTTTGGATTAATTATTAAATCTTCCTCACTAAAGGTTTTTTGATGTACTATCAGTTTATATAGCTTCATTTTTAACCCATTACTTCTTTAATAATAAATTTAATTGTAATACATAAGAGAATTAAATTCTACAATATTATATTATATATATATATATATATATTTCTGTACATATTAATTAAAAAAATTTACATAAAATATATAAAATAATCAAATAACTTACTATTTATTTTCTATCCAGAAAATTATTTCAAAATATTTGAAATAAATAATATTTTTAAAATACAATATTTAGATATATTGTTAACAATATATCAATTAAAATATTAATTAATAATAAATATATCAATATTATTGTGTTTTACACAAATTCCAAAATCCTTTCTTTTTTTAACATTATCCTGTACTGGTATAAAATTTATTCACATTATTTTAATCCAAATCTCAAAACATAAGAAATGTTAATACTCATATATAGGGAATAAGAATTAATATCAAACTCAACAATTGTATTTTTATATTTTATTCTGTAAAGTCTTAGTAACACATTTGTTTCATACAAAAATGTTACTAGCCATCAGTTTTTGTTATACGATCAATATTTTTTAATTTATGCATTAATCATATATGTATTTTCATAAATTGTATATAAAAATTTAATAAAGAACATGAAATGAAATAAAAATATATATTATGGATAAAAAATATAATTGTTTTAAAAATTATTAAATTTTACAAATTAAATAAAAATTATTAAAAGTAAGCCTATATTTTAATTATAAATAAATTAATTTAAAAATATTGTGGAAAATTGCAGAACTCAAAATATTTCAATATTAGATAATCTTATTTAATTATTTAAAACATTGTAATAGTACAATCTATCAATTTTGTCCAATATACATTATATGTAACGTAAGTTTAATAAATATAAATTATGGTCAAATTAAGTAAATAAAGAATAAAATTATATTTTATAAAAAAAAATTTACAAGAACTTATTTTATTTAAATTAAATTTTGTAAAATATTTCAAAATGCAGTTACGTAATTGTGATGGTATTATATAGAGCTTCTATTAAATCAAAAAGTTCCTAAAAATGCGGCGTCTGCTAAAGCACTGACAGTGTTTTGTTATAAAAAAAAAAAACGTAATTTAATCTAATTTGTTGAAAGATTTTTATTATCGTTTCTACGAAATGGATTTATTAATGACACTTCCTGATATTTGTATGATAACTATCTATTTCCATTAAAATCATAGCTATTTATAAAGATCAATCATGTTATGGATATTGTATAACCTATGTAACGTATTTATCTAATTGTTGTTAAAAATTGAAAATATATTTGATTAAATGATGAGAGATGCGTACCAAAGGCCTGCTATTGTTGCTTATGTGCATAGCAGGGAGCAGCATCGTTTTTATTGCTTTCAGCAATCAACGACCTTCCATTCAAACTCTGGTTACAGAGACACACAAGCAATTACGAAACTTCCAAGTAATTATTTCTATGACAATTAACTTCTATTTCTTATTTATAGCACATATGAGAACAGTTATTAATGTTTCATTATAATTTTTACAGGAAAATTTAAAAGATGTTGAAGAAAAGCGTTTGGTAACAGATTCCAAGTATCTTGCAATGCTTGGTCTTGATGGGCAAGCAAGCACAACACCTTTTAGTCTTAAATCTCAAAATGTGACTGTTGTTTCTCTTATTAGGCCTGGAAATGAACAACATATTTATGGCTTTGTGAGAAATATCAGTCATTTTTTGCCAAATAACAGTATTGTCATTTATAGTGTTGGATTAAATGATGATTCTTTGCAAAGTATTAGAACAGCTTGTAATTCTACAAAGTGTAATGTGATTCATTTCGATATAAGTCTATTTCCAACTCATGTTGAGGATGATAGATTACACGTTTATAGATCTTTAGTTATTCAAGTAACTATATTTTTATAAATACTTAAATATATAATAATTAAAAATAAAAACTATATTATTTAATTTTTTTTTTTTTATTGTATTACAGACAGCTTTAAATACCTTAGGAAATATACTATATATGGATTCAAATGTGCGTTTAAATTCTTCAGATATTTCAAAGTATTTTTTACCAAAATCTGGAATTTTAACTTGGCCTACAAGGCATGCAATTAGTTCTTTAACGCACCCAAAGATGTATGAATATTTTCATGTGTCTGCAGAAAGTTTCTTTTTTCTTCCATTAATAAGAGCATCGCACTTAGTAATTAGAAATATCAAAGAAATTAGAGAAAAAGTAATGTTGCCATGGATTCAATGTGCATTAACAAGAGATTGTATTTGTCCCATTGGTATATATGTCAAAAATAATTTTTGTATATTAAAAACCTAATTTAACTTATATTAAAAATTTATGCATTGAAACAATTAATTTTAATATGTAAATAATTTGTTATTATATGTAATAATAATTGTTATTTAATATGTAATAATTTATTATTACAGGAGCTCAATCAGCAGGATGCCGATTTAATAAGAAACCACAATACCGATATTCCGGTTGTCATGCGTATGACGCGTCTGCATTGAATATCGTTCTTGGATTGCATTTTAATTTTGATGACACATATTATGTACATCAAGAACGAGAAACGTACTTTAATAAAATAGAACCTGAAGAAATTACAGAAGAGTATGAAATGATTACAAAACAAAACAATGTAACTGAGTCAAATTTAAGAAATATTATATCAAATGAACGCTAATTTCTTGAAGATCGTGATTAATTTAAAAAAAAAAAAAGATAATTAAGTGATATGTCGATCAAGCACAAGTAATATAAGGATACATAATAAGTTAAAAACAAATAAAGACTTTAGTGAACATAAACTATATTTGTGTATCATTACCTTCAAAAAATAATTCAGCTTTCGCACTTTGTTTCTAACTTCTGAATTATTTTTGAAAGTAAGTTAAAACATGAAATTAACAAATATGAAAAAAAAATTTTTTATTCATATATTTATATTTTCTTTTATAAATTTTCATTATTATTTTTACTTGAATGCAAATGAATTAAATATAGATATAATTAAATCCGTACATAATATATCGAAAAGCATCGAGTGTGATCTGTTTTTCTTGTTGGTCGATTACTAGAATAATCTACGGTATCAATCAAGACACTAACGAATCTCAATTAGTGTCATCAGGAGTCGCTTAATGGAAGGTGTTCCTCTTGATTAAAGGTGGCACCTCCGTCAAACTCGAAATTGTAACGCGATACCCCACGAACATATTTTGTATTAATTTATATGGTAAATTTCACGTTGAAGTATACAGTCCTACTATCACGTCGCTAACAGGGGATTCGTCATTGTTTGTATAAACGAAAAGTACAACATCGCGCGCGGAACATGGACGAATATGCGTACGTGAGTTCCATCGGGACTCCTAAGGATTAATCGTAAGACACCACCGGAAGCCAACGATATGTGACGAGTTGTTAAATTTCGATATACTTTTGTCTGTTGTAACCTTCATCGCATATTGCCTGATCAGGATTTAAGGTCACTTGACGATGTTTGAAAGCGACATTGACAACTGGTATGATTGGAAGAAAGATGATGATGTTGTTAATGAGATACACGCCGTAAAAAATGCCGAGACTATAAACGGTGTATGTATGATAAATTCCGATCGTTCGAAAAATTTCATGCCTAATGATGGCCAAGGAAAAACCTCTCGAAGCAACGGGATGATTCGCTGTGGTGCAATTCCTACTAGTTCCAGATCTGGTACCGAAGTTCGATTCATCAATCCGGCAATTTATGCAGAGACCTTAAATAACGAGGATGTAGAACACGAGGTTGAAATTCAAGTGAGAGTCAATTCGAAAAACGATGGACGGCACGTACCTAATTGCGGTGATTCCGCGGAAATGAACGATAAGATGTCCACGCTGTCTATTAACAATGGTCTGGCCACTTCGTTTATGAATCATGCCGGTGATCAAAGTTCAGCTCAAGAAACGTATCGTTGTTATTCCTTAAATTCACCGACCACATCCGCATCCTTACAGTCCGATATCGCCCGTTCCAAGTCTGTGACTTCATATACACCTTTAAATCGAATCGAGAGACGATGTAAGATTCCTAATGAAGCGGACGATAAGTACGAACTTCGACAAGTCGAATCGGAAGTGCAAAGGTATTTTAATAATCTCATCAATTAAACGAATATTGATGTATTTCAATTATTTCCTTCAATTATTTTTTCTATGGGATTTTTTAGAAGTTTCACTCGATATTTAACAATGTTGAAGAATAATATATCAAATTTTGAGACCAACAAAATATCGTTTCTCGTCATGTAGATACACATTTAATGGGCATAAGATCGTACAAGTTTCTACCTCATCGGTATCCAGTATCAGAATATCGGAGAAAAAATCGAACGAATCGTATCTTGCCAAGAAAATCACTTACAGCGAGTGGATACGAAGAAAGCAAGAAATGGCGCGGCGAAAAAAGGAGGAGGAAGAACAGGCTCAGAGACAGAAGCAAATAGAGGCGGAAAAACTGGCTCGTGAAAAGGAAGAAAGAGAATTCCGAGAGAAAGAAAATTTCTTAAAATGGTCCGAGAAGAAGAAAAAAGAAGAGGAAAAGAAGAAAGCTGTTATTGAAAAAGAATTGACGTTACAAAAACAACTAAAAGAGGTCGAGGATAAAGCTGCTGTTGTGAAAACTCTATATCTTCGTCAATGGGCACGTAAAAAGAAGGAAGAAGAAAAAGGTAAAGAAATATTTTTCAATTAATTTCGATTATTTTTCATTTATATCGATACTTCCTCTTATCTCTGATGTTCATCTATAGCACGTCAAAAGAAAGAGGAAATGAAACGAAAACAGCTCGAAGAAGAGAGGAAAAAGAGATTAGAGGAGAGCACGAAAGCTTATGAAAATTGGCGCAAGATGGCGAAGAATAAACCGAAGCCTGCCACGCAAGGACTTTTACGTTAGTTGTTTTATTTTCTTCTACTATAAAAAAATATAATTTAACGATAAAAATTTACTTGAGATTATAAATTTCTACTTACTATTAGCTCATCAAAAAGCTAAACCAGCATACGTGAATCCTACGCCATGGCAGCGAATCATCGACGACACCGAGGACGTCGAGGAAGATGCATTCAATGTTGGTAGAAAAACACAGAGTCAGCTGAAGATTAGCAGTAAGAGAAATGCAACATCTTTTCAGTGATTAAAATCGTCGTATAATTGGAACTTGGGAAATTTGTATGATTTGAAGAATGATCACGTGGTTAAATATTTCTATTGCCTCGAAGTAAAATAGAATTATAGAGAAGTAATGAACGAAACAAAGAATATCATTATACTTACTTTGGATCACAGATTCGTGTACGTTCGTAGAATATCCTTATGTAGGATATACCGTACAATTGGAATGATATTACACGCATTACGGCATAGTAGATATTCTGATAAAAAATAATTATATTTTCTAGCAACTATTCTTTGATACATACATATTTTCATGTTCGTCTTCTATGATGAATATTAGCAATGAATATTAACATATATCTGAAGCTAATCGCGAACAGCGTTCTTCGACCAATATTTAGATGCATTAAGACAACGAAGGAGAAAATTATCTCCTTTGCCTTCATTTTTATCTACTCGAAGATTTGTAGATAAGTAAAAAAAAAAAAAAANAAAAAAGAAAAAAGAAAAAATATGGAAGCAAAATAAAGAGAATTTGCGTGATGATAATTAAAAGGAATGTATACGGAAAAACTGAATATTTTTATTATTTGTATTATTAATACTGTAATGTATATTACATGACGTAGATTCATTATATAATCATAATTTTTACACGGGATCAGGAGAGTGCTTCTATTCATTCGTTACATTAGACATACCTTGAGAAAAAGGATATCAAAGATTGATCAAATAGGATAATTCCAATAGTACACAAGAGGACGTAGAAAGTGGCACATGTAATTATTTTATCTCCTGCTGAATGTATACTTTATTCTTTCTCAATGTATGTCATATTTCATACACACAAATATTTAAAGATGTAAGTGAACAATTGCACGGTGATTAGCATCGTCCAATGGATCTATTTGATCATACTTTCTTCTTCTTCTTGAAGTCTCTCTATGTCTGATTTGTTCATGAAATAATAAGAAGGTTGCCGTGATTTCTAAAATTTCAAAATATTATAGATTATTATCGTTGAATTGTTAGCTATTTGTTAGAATATAAAAATTTCTTACTAAATCCTTCACTATACGTTTTGCACCCGCTTTGATAAGAATATTACTTAATTCTTCAACAGATAGTAAACCCATTGCATAATGTAAAGCTGTTCTTTCCAACTAAAATGGAGTGTCAAAAATCTTACAATCTTTTTTTTCTTTACAACTGAATCGAAAATAAATGATTTATTAAATTAATTTTTACATTGTCACCGATACGTAAAGTTTCTGGATACGTTCTCGCAATGTATTGGACCAGTTCTATATTTTCACGAAGTACTGCAATGTGAAGGGCGCATCTACTCATTGAATTCTTTCCCATTGCCAATAGTTTCCCTCCACCGTTATTTTTATTTAATAATTCCTTCACTCTTGATACATTGCCTGTTCTGATTTCATGATGCACTTCTTCGCGTTGTGTCTATGAAAAAAATATTTCTTAGATATATTAATTTTCGATATTTCTTAATAAAAATATAATAAACATTTCTATTTTACCACATAATTTGGAATAGATTGTAAAAATTGTACGGTTGCTTCTCGTCCTCGTTCCGCAGCAATGTCTATAATATTCACACCTTCATCTTCTACATCCAAAATATGATCGTATCCTTCTAGTAATAATTCTACTAATTTTTCTGTTTCACCTATACAAATATTACAAGTTACATAACATTTATCACATTAATCTTTTTGATTCGAATTTCTTTTCTTTTCTTTTCTTTTCTTTTTTTTTTTTTATCATTCATATTAAAAAGATTTTTTTGAACTTATCTTATAATATTTTCTATAAAATTAAATCTTGCTAACCTCTTGCTGCTAAATAAGCTACATAACGATCAATTTCGTCGATATTTTCTCTAATATTTGCCAATTCAGCTACGTCTCTAGCCGTCCTGTACAATTCGTCTCTGAAGCCAACGTTAACCTGACTTTCTTGAAGTAGATGGAACAAGCCATCCTTTGAATAAGATCTAATGGCAGCGAAATGAATAACGCTTTGTCCATGCTCATCCTGAATTCATTTCATTAATTATATATTGATATCCTTAATATTATATACTACTAGTTACTAATTAAAATCATACTCTATTAGGATTGCTAAAGGCTGATTCTGGTACATCGGAACCCGGACTTTGTGGATAACCAGCATCCTCATCTCCATTCTCGTTTTCGATATTCTCTATGTTTTCTTCGGGACGATCAGGAATGATCAATACGTTAGGTTCCTAAAAATAGACGCGTATCCATATTTATTGTTTCAAAATTATATTTAAAATTTTGTTTACTTGTTCCTGGGGGCTGCTCTTGCTTTTGTTGGCAAAATTGTACAAATAAGTAGCCAGATAAGTAACTGGATCCTTTGGACGATTATTGGCAACTTCTGTCAAACCTCTGATCAATGGATCACCGAGTGCTATAGAAATTGATATTTTTAAATCACTTTTATCAAATTAATGAAATTTTTGTTCAATCATTATTGATTTAAAATCGTCTTACACGATGCTAAGTAGCGACCCTCTTCTTCTCGAAATATCGATATGTCCACTTTGTCATCTGAAATATGAATTTTAATTGTTATCAAATGAATACATACAATACATAGAAATTACCTATTGCAGTTATTTTATAAAGTATACAACGATTATTTCTACTCTTTCCATTTATATCAACAGAAGTGCAATACGTTTATGACATCTTAATTGTTCTTCGTTTTTCGAAAACAAGTAAAAAAGCAAATCTTCCGCAAACAAAAGGTGCATCACGAACACAAGGTGCATCACTCCACTCTGAAATTCGTGTTGCACGTATATAAATCGGAAACAAATTTACAGCGTATAAATATAAAATTGAAATATGTAAAAGCACGTTTTTACACAAAATTGCGAGAATTTAACAATAAAAAAAATCACATTTGATAAAAGTGAGAGGTGAGGGATTTCGTTTATGTATAATCATTTACGTACAATAGCCATTATACAAAATATACAATTTATCTTAAAATTGAGTACATCGAGTTGGAAAGACATGTGCTACGCCATTTCTGTTTCGTGTGAACATCGAACTCGTGCATGACACATAAAGAAGCTCTTAAATTTCCCCCATTTTCTATATTTTATTCTTCCAATTTTCTAGAACATTTTATATAACGAAATCTCTGTAAATTTCCGTTTCAGGTACATATACACATTTTCACGTAAGCATGGTGTCGTGCGACAACATGTCAAAGCGTACTGTTCATGTTCACCAATAACTGTTCGTTCTACTAACCTAATGAATAATCCAGTTGTTCCTCTAGTAGTTAATCATTTAAGTATCATATCATTCGTCGCACGAGAAATAGAATAACGTTCACACACATCTTTCCAACGTCTCTCTTGTCTCTTTCATTCTCAACATACGCAAACGTATCTCCCCTGTATAGTCTCAGTCTGATGGGAGATAATTGACAGTGTTGGCTCGTGTATTATCACAGAAGGATTCCATGTATAAGCGTATTGTTCCGTTATTTAAAAAAAAAGAAGAAAAAAAAGAAGGAAAAAAGGAGAAGAAAATACAAATATGATATAAAGAGTTGATGAGAAATAAAGACTTTCGTTGATCGGTTTTCTTCCCTCTCTTCACGCTCAATTTTGAAAACGTTGTTTAACGCTGTTTCGTTTACGAAAAAGGCCCGCGATCAAGGTGGCAATTTTCAACGAATTATTTATCGACAATTCCTTCTCCAACGCTAGAACATTGAGCACGGCCCTCGAGAAATCTTGAAGGGTCTGCAATTCGGTGATACTCAACGACTGTTGATTACCGATCCGTACCGTATCCCTTTTCACCGTCTCGCGTATACTTAGCCCTCGAACCACGCACAGATGCTTCAAATTATCAAATTCCTTCGACAGTTCGGGGAATTTGATTATCACGTTAAATCTAAGAGTATTGCCAATTGCGCAGGGACGTGCACTGAGGAAGCCCAGCTTCTTGTCCCTCTTGAATTTCAATTTCGAATCGAATACCATCATCAATTTCGCCATTCTCGCGTAGGCATGGCCGATCAAACCAGGCCTGGTGTCGCTGGTCCGAGAAACAATCCTCAAATGATCCTGAACGTTCACCCAAATAGCCAGATCGCCGGCGGAAGCCACGTAGACTCCTCGACCGTAGGGCCAGTGCTTCCCGTGGAGGCGTTTATCGTCGTGGAGCTCGAAGTCGGTGATCGGCAAAAGTAGACCAGCTGCCGCCAGCTGGGCTCTAATCGGGCTCGGCTGGTCCAGAATCTCATTTAAAGTGAAATAAGATCCAGCCTCGTCCTCGCTGCTACCCTCGGCTATCATCGCCGAGATCTCTTGGCTCATCAGTTCGTTGGTGATCTCTTGTTCCACCTCTTCGAGCTGGTTCACCGTCAGTGTCAACGGAAAAGTATAATTCTCCAGGTTCCTACAACACTCTATCACACCAGCTTGAACGTATTTGGCCGGAGGATCGAGATCGTACGCGTTGATCGTTGACACGGTCACTTCGTCCAGGGTATCGTGACTCTCCTCGCCCTCCTCGTCCTCGTAGAAGAATCTCGGGAGAGGATGATCGGGCAGATCACCGCTGGCGGTCACGCAATGTATGTCTCTGATTAAAGGGTCGAAGAACTCGGCGAACACGATGTAACTTTCGTAATCGGGCGCGACCACGGACAACGACTCGTCCTCGTCCGTGGTATTGCTGATCACGGAATAAGCGCTGCTCGCCTTGCTGTTGTAATTCGAGTTATCGTATTTCTTAAAAGCAGGCCAGATCACATCAAAGAGATTGTGGTCCATGCGTGTCACACGGTGCTTGATATGATCGAATGTAGGCCGTTTCAGGCAACGACCGATCAGTGTACCGGAGTTCCCAGCCGATTTTGGTGTCGTACCGTGTCTCGCGCCGATCAGAAGACGGAAACACCTCTCCAAGGTAGCTAGGGTCTCCGGTTCGTTTAAGTCTCGACGCGAGGAATAGATGTCGCCTCCAGAAACTTCGTTTTTTGGCCACGAGAGTGCACGCCGGACGTCCAGGTGGAAACAGCCGCGGAGAGGAAATTAATGAGGAAATTTTTCAACAGGATCATTTTCAACAGCAATGGATTTATGTCGATTAATTGATATTCATTTAACTGATCTTAGAGGATCGTAGAAAAATTTTTAAAAACCTTTTGGATTTAGCATTTAGTTTCTTTCTAAATTGTGATTGCTTGTAGGACAAATATTTCAATTATTATACGTATAATATTTAGAAAATTATAATTAAATTTGTGATTATTAATTAATTATTCGTGATTGAGACGATGGTAACACGTATGAGGAAGCAAATTGTGATTGAAACATAACTAAATAAATCGGTGATTGTACTATTAGATAATTGAGACGTTTGTAGTTTAAATTTTCTATATTCAGAAAAAAGTACGTATAGTGCCTTAACGATCGTAATATAGATTCGTTAGGAGTGATCGATGGTGCTCGTAAGTGCCACGTTCGAATGAAATACCTTTATCCGTCAATATCTCGTCGGCCAACTTCTCATTAGCACCGAAATCGCGGAGGAGTGATTTGTGAGAGAATTCGGACTGCTCTTCTTTGTAATAATCCGCTTTTTGTCCGAACTATGCGAACAATAATGGTAGAAAAAATATATCGGCATCAATGAAACGAATGTTATATATAGAGATATAATTTATCGTAAATTTCATCATGACGGTTTTTGTTGGAAACAATGGATTATTATTATTATTATTAAGATTGCACTCACGTTGTCTTGAACCAGAGGATTGGCACCCAAGTGAAGTAGAAGGTTATAATAATGGCCGTTGTCTGCTAGAGTAGCTGCATAGTGTAAAGGTGTTCGGCCATCGAGATCGATTGCATGCGCAGTTTCTGGAAACCTGCCTGCTAGATATCTAATGAAAATATAAAAGATTAAACGAGTCGAATAAAGAAATCGATAATCCATGATTGAACAAGATAATTCATTTCATTCTTGTGCTTTTAATCTCCTGTTACGATAGAATTTTTTAATATAACCATTGTCATTTCATTGTCTCTCTTGTTATGAAAAATTATTTCAATCAAGTTATTGTATTTCATAAATGTTAATGCAATTGATAAGAAAATTGAAAATACACGTAAAATTAGTATGACATTTATATTAATGAAACATAGATTATTTGTGTCAATTTACCTGATAATAGTAGTGTTTCCAAATATCACTGCAACGTGAAGAGGCGTTGCGCCATGCGGCGATGATTCATCTCTTGCAACTGCAAATTTGCGACGATCTAAGGCGCTTTGTAGGTCCCTCAGATTCCCTTCTCGCGCTGCCATATGCACAGCATGAATTTTCCCCTATAACGATTGATAAACGACACTTATTTGAGGCGAAAAATTGATTATTTGCTTCATTAATCAATAAATTTATCTAATGCAATAAATTACACCAACCACAACAACAAGCGATAAACAGCCTACATCTACAAGCTATCTCAATTGACAAGTTAAAAACCGGTTTCTATGAAATCATTCTTGCTTTTATATATATATATCTACTTTCGTTTATAGAAACGAAACGAGGCGAGTAATATTTTTTTACTATTACCATGTACGAAGGGACACGATCGATGAACGCCTGCAACTCGGTATTCCCTGAATGCCTACCAACCAATCTTCTACCTTCACCATTGAGTACCAGCGCGGCTAATTGCTCCATGTTGCCGGTCTCCAGCAACTTCTCGATTTCCGGATCGGCCGTCATCGTTCCCTCGTTCAAGTCTGTTTCCGGAAGCTCCTCGTGTTCGCCGACGATCACCTGCTGATCATTTCCAAGTGCAAAACCATGCGCACGGACATCATAACCCGACGATCGATACAGGAAAATATTATTAATCTCACGTGACAATCTAGATACGGTAAATCGATCGCCTACTTTGCGTTTCGTCGTGCGTGTGCACGCTTTATTGTGAAATACGATCGAAACGAGTTGTTTCTTCGCAAATGTATTTTTTCACAGATTTATTTTATTTTGGATGTGACTAGCATTAATGATAGTGGAGCAATAAAATTGTTTGAACTCGTTTTTTTTTTTTTTTGGTACGCGAATCATATTAATTATTATATTTTAAAGACGGTTTTGGTTTTTTATATTTTATAGAATGGAAATTTTAACGTGATTTGATTATTTTGTATTTGTAGAATGGAAAAGTAATATATAAAAAAAAAGTGACGTTAGATAGGATAGAAAAATAAAATAGTTCTATCGGGAGTACTTTTATATTTAAATGATAAGATAGTATCTTGTAAATAGTAAATAATGGCGTGACAACAATTTTATTGAAATAAAAAAGATCTTTTTTTTAAAGTAGAAAGAATATTTCATAAAATACATATTTTATGAATATATATTTTATAAATTTATTAAAAAGATACTAAAACAATTTATATATCTTTTACTAGCTCAAATAAAATTAATAAAAAAACAAAAAAATAAATTTATGGGTCTGTGCATAAGTTATAACAGAAGTTCCTTGTTCAGTCATTTATTTATTATTATATATTTGTGCGTGACAAAGAACATACTGTATAATAATCTCCATATCGATCATTTCTTATTTTCAATATACATGATACTCTAATTATATCCTGTCATCTACAACCGCAAATGTAAATTCATTATACCTACAAGCTGGCTGACTAAACATGAACAAACAATCAAAAAAGTCAATTATATTTTTTCATCATTAATAATCTTTCACTTATATAATGCCAACTAACTAAGTTGAAGTTGAAGTTCGTTTAAATTATAATATTACTTATTTCATATCTTACTTCTCACTCAAGGCTGATGATGTAATTTTTTTTTTGTTGCTAGGAAATTCGTAAAAATTCGACTCGTCTAGTGTTATGATGACTATTTATGATGACTGTACCTGGTCTTCCTCGTTTCCGGGATCATCGACACCAGAATCACCAGTACTGGGCTCTTTTCTTTCTTCCTGCTCCGTCTTATTCTCCTCCTCCTGCTCGTTCTCCTCTTCCTCTTTCTGGGATTCCTCTGCTTCTTCTTTATCTTCTTCGGCTACATCTTCCTCACCTTCCGGTTCCTCCGCTTTTTCTTCACTTTCACCTTCGCTTTCCGGCTTTGGATTCTCCTCCGTTTCTTGCATCTCTGCACCTGTCACCACATCGTCATCCGACGACTTCTCTTCCGTCTCTTCTATCTTTGCTCCCTGTTCCTGATCTTCCTCCGTGGTTTCTGGCTCTGGATTCTCCGCCACCTCTGCTTCCTCCGTTTCTTCTATCTTCTCCGCGTTTTCTTCTACTTCATCCTCCCCGTTTCCTGCATCTTCCGCATTTTCTTCGTTTTTGCTATCCTCCGGATTTTCAACAGATTCCGCGCTCTCCGCGTTCTTTGCATCCTCCGCGTCTTCCGCGTTTCCCTCCTCTTCATCTTTTTCATCTTCCTCCGCATTTTTTATCTGCTCAATGAAACGATTAAAATATCTGGTTCTTTAAAAGTTCTTTCGTCTTTGTTCAATCTGTTTTTCTTTTTTTTTTTTAGAAAATTAAGAAATTCAAGAAATTTTCGAGTAAAGTAAATTTCACCATTAAAAGAAATTATTAACAATACTGAAAAATACCTGTTCCATGGATCTGCTGAGATTTTTCGGTGCTGATTCCGCGCTGCCAAACGCACTATCGATATCCGCACTGTTAACTTTCTTCATCCCTCTAAGTATAAATTCCTCCGCATCCAAAATCCTCCAGTCCCAATGTTTAGGATACGACGTTCCCGCAACTCGAGGCGCTTCCGGTATCACATTCAACAGTGATTGGTCTATGTCTGACGGTCGATTTTTGTAAAATGCCGGCGCCTTTAATCTCTGATTGCAAAATTTCATCGATAATAAATTTAATAAAAATTAAAAACGTTTATAATAAATATTTTATTATAAATTGCTCACGTTATCTAGTTTACTTTCATCAGCTCCGTACTCGACTAACAAATTATACAAAGTTCCATCGTCCTTCGCTGCAGCCGCATAGTGCAATGGAGTCTTTCCATCGTTGTCCTGCGCTTCCACAACGGAAGGGCATTTCGCGAGGATATTTCTTGCGATTTCCGTGTACCCCAAGCCACAGGCCTGTTGATTATCGAATCGTTTAAAGAGAAATATTAATGTTACGTTAGGTTCGTACCTTGTGCAAGACGTTCAAACCATTGCCATCTTTGCCGTAAAAAACGATTGGGGACGTGGCCTCTATCTTATTTTCCAGCTCTTCTAAATCATTATTTATTACGAATGTGTGAACATCCTTCACGGTACCCTGTAACGCAGATATTATTTATACATCTGTGGAGAAATATTTTTAAAATAGATAGAAGGGATAGAAGAAAGAAGAAAGGTTGGACAAACCATAATGAACGGTACGGCTTCTAAAAATCTTTTCACTCGAGGATTGTTGCTGGTCTCCATACGTAATTTGTTCCCATGACCCTCCCACAAAACCTGCTGCAGTTTTCCTATATCTCGATTGTGAATCCATATTCTTATGTTTGAAGGTTTGAAGTCTAAGCCTGGAACGAATTGTTTGGAAATTCAATATTTTGCTCGAAAAAAGTAATAGACTGATTTTCGAAATTTTGATCCAAAAATTTAAATTATCCTCGTTCGAAGGAAAAATTGATAATAAAAATATTTTAAGGTGAACACTCTGTGCATACGTATTTTATATTTTTATTATTTATCGTATTCTTTAATTTGCATTAATGTTTTGATCTAAAATTCAAAAATAAAAATTTCATTAAAAATAGTGTGCACGAATGGCATTTTCATAAACTAGAATATTAAATTTCGAAACAAAATGTGACTTTAAAATGTCACTTAAAAATAAGTACCAAAGTATGAGTTTTAATGATATGACCTTTTCCTATTTGAGATATGACTTCGTTAAACATTTATAAGTGACAAGATTTGTAAAGTGTACATCGCGTGTTGAGGAAAAACGTGATAAATATTTTAGATACTCGGGGATTTCTTTTAGCAGCGAAGATCGATTTCATGTTCAACATTCTTTCCTTATTGAAACTTGGAATCAAAAGATTTATAATTTTCTCTCTTAATATATCGATAGATAATTTATCACACATACGTCTTTGTTTCTTTTCTTGATCCGAATTGAATTGAATAAAAGAAATTGAAATTATAAAATGTGTTGCAATTAAATAAATATCTTTACGAAATACGTTCAATATTATCAATGAATCATTTATTTTTTGTGTAACTTTAACTTTAATGACGCTGGGAAAATTAAACGAGATATCTTATGTTGTAACATATTTTTAATGAAAAATTACGTCGATAATCGCAATGTTTTTTTTACGTGTTCAAAACACTTAATCGAGCCATGTGGGTAATTGTCGAGTGCGCAATTGTTTCTAAAGAAAAAAAAAAAAAAAAAAAAAAAACAAAATAGAAAGAAAAAATTAATAATGAAATTTTTTGAAGACACTTTTGTTCGATAAATAATCAATAATTGTAATTAATCGTAAAATAGAATTGGAAGTAAAAATTATTTAAACAATATTGTAAGAAATTAAATATTCAATTTAATTCAAAGGAAAAAAATTTGAAATGTAAATAATTCGATTTAATTAAAATTATAAACGCGCATGCTTTGTCTTTTAATCGACTTAGATTGCGTGTTCTATCGGTGAATTAATAAATTTTTGATAAGTTAACCGAGTGCACGGACCTCGTCACTTACTGACACGTTTGCAATATTCTCTGTTTCCTTAATAAATAGATCAATCAATGTTGGCAGAAATGTCAGTATACGTTGTACGTATTACACTCACTGTAAAATTGAATTCAGTTATCATGTAGAATAAATTATTCGCTTGTAATTGGTGAACATCTATCTACCAAGATCTATCAATTTAATTATAGTCTTATATCGTTGGCCTTAATAATTCAACGAGTTGAGTTATTCTGTGCGACAAGTTCAATCAAGTTATTTCGTTGCAGGTCATAGAATCATTCGAAATTTATAAAATTTCTGTAAAATTTCACCAAGAAAATTCAATTTCAATTTTGTCGAATCATTTATCACATTTTCCTCGAACAATTTACCATTCAAAATCTAACGGAGGAATAAAAATTTTTCAGGAAATAGCTCGCTTGTCGATCTTCAAAGGAAATATATTTACAACACGCGATAGCTTCTTGTAATTTTCCTTTATACGTCTTACTATTACAATTTCACTCGTGAAGATCGGACAGAATGTATTTTATTGAATGATCAATAATAAAATTAGAAATGCCTTCGCATCGTAACAATTTTCGACGCTTTTCGTAAATTTTGAAGATTCTTAAATAATTCGTTGGTCAATCGACTAACAATTATGAGAATGTCTCTTTCATCCTATCGATCGAAACAGTTTTCCTTGCTTTATAAATTTAAGTTTTATTGATTCTTCGAGTCATTACCGAGAAGAATCCATAGGGTATAAGTCAAGGAATGTATAACCATTAAAAGTGGGAAATGAACCAAGCCAAGTTTTGCAAGGTTGCCAGTGATCTATTTTAATTGTTTTCTTCGATAAAACATTAATAAAATAAACTTATTAAAGATTTTTGTCTCTCGTTTACATTTACATTTATCACGAGATTAGTATGAATTCTAAAAAGCATAAAAATAAGCATCAAAATTGCTCACACTCTTTCCCAAAGCT